CTGGGGGGGCAGCTTGCAGTGCCTGATGCTGGGATATTACAAGAGCTCATAAACTGCATTGAAAACAGATGCAGAAAATGGGCTCTGAGGAAGGACCACAAGAGCTGCTCAGGCAACCCCAAGCCCTGCCCAAGAACTGTATTAGTATCACCCTGGTGCACCCCAGTCCTCCCCATTTGGCCTCTGTTAAACCCACACACAGTTGTTTGGGCTCTCATCCTGGCACCCCTGGTTTGGAGTCAGGTAGTGAAAGCCATGCAAAGACACAACCTGGAAAAACAGCAGGGGGGCTTCTGTACAGGCTGCATGTAGGTATGCAGGCAGGGAGGTGGGGAGAGCATCAGGTAGGAAAACCAAACCTCGCACAAGCCATGGAGCACAAGGCCAAGCAGGAGCTCCCAGAGGCTCTGTCATCCTCAATTTCAACTGTCCAGCTACCCCAATGCCCAAATTTCTCATGCAAATGGCCAACAGAGCAAACACTTAAAGGACAGCAATCTGTCAGGGCAGGTCACTTCTCCCCATCATGCCCCCACCACAGGCAGGGCTTGCCCTGGGCTAGCCTGAGGCTTACGGACAAATACAGCCACGACATGAAGCCCAGCAGGGCCAACAGAGAGTTGTTTAATAGGCATGAAGCTTTCAGGGTGCTGGACACAGTCAGTGGAGCATCACTCTGTTGCTGAGCTGTGCCAAGTTCCTGTGTCCCCTTGTCTGGGAGATGCTTGGTGGATGTGTCCCTGCTGCAAAGCCATGTGCACAGAGAAGCTGGGCATGAGCAAGCCCTGGGCCAGGGACCAGGAGACATCCGTGATGGCTGGACCAGGTTTCTGAGTTGTCAGAGGGGTGGGTGGGCAGAATGAAGGGGTGGGGGCATCCTCATCCCCCCTGTTGCACCCCAAATCCTGGCAGGATGGACAGCAAGCCCTTCCCAGGCTGCCAGCACAGCTACTGTCCTATGTGGGTCTGGGGCATGGCCGGGGTCCCCAAAAATGCTCTCAGACTGTACCCGAGGAGCTCAGCTGCCCGTGCACCGCTGGCAGCCCCCTCCTCCCACTCAGCTCTCGAAGGCTGCTGTCACCCCACAGCACATGCACGACTGGCAGCAGCTGCGTCGGGGGAATGGTGCCAGGGGCACTGCTCCTTGGCACAGCCCCGCCGGCTGCTGGGTGACTGCCTTCTCTTTGCACAAGTCCTTGGTGGCTGAGTCAGGCTGGGACCTGCCAGCCACCCGGGGATGCTCCTTGTCAGCCTTGATGGCGAGGAAGGTGGCCAAGTCGAGGTCGAGCATGGTGACACCACCACGTGGCGTGGGTGTATTTTGGCGGCACTGCGGGCAGGGGATCCAGCGCTGCTCGTTGGCAACAGCGTCGAGGCGTTTCAGGCAGGCTTGGCAGAAGGTATGGCCGCAGTAGAGCCGGCGTGGCAGCCGGCTGCACAGGTCATAGGAGGAGTAGCAGGTGATGCACTCAACCTGCTGGCTGCCGCGGCTCGGGGTGCATGAGTGTGCCGTGACACATGGCCCTGTGTCCTCTTCCCGGGGGCTGCTGCTGGCCTGGGACATGCTGGGGAGGGGAGGGCGAGAGGAGCTGTCAGACCCATGGCCAAGGTGTAGGTTGCCACCTCTAAGTGCATCTGATGTGTGGGAGATGTGGAGACCAGCCCCACATGGTGGGTTCCCAGGGGCATCAGGCTCCCTGCCCGATGTCCCTGCCTGCCCCATGTACAGACCTGACTAGAAAAGCAGGACCTTGCCACTACAGATGGCTCTGCCTGCATCCGAGAGGGGTGCATTTTCCCTGGTGCTACCACTGCATCTCTGCTGGGAGCTCTGCCAAATGCCCCTTGTGTCTTGTGGGGGATCGGGCCTGGCTGGACCTCAGCAGCCTGCCTGGGCTCTGGGTTGGTGAGGAACGTGGAGTGGGCAGGAGCGTGTCAGCCAGGTTGGCAGGGGAGCAGCGCCCAGAGGACCAGGCCGTGCCACAGCCCTGCTCCTCGCCTGCCCCAGACTGTGCCGGGCCGCCATCAGGGGACGGGCACACAGGCTGACAGGGAGCAGTTGAGGGGTCCAGCCTCATCTTAAGGAGGTCTGGTACCCACCAGAATATTTGCAAACCTCTCCTGGAGGCCACCAAGACCCCAGTCCCTCTCCATGGGTGACCCCAAGCATTTTGATATACACAGGCATCCCTCCCCTCCTCCCCTGTCCCCCATCCCTACCTGTCCTGAGATGCTCCCCCCAGGCCCTCAGGGGAGGTGGCAGAAGGTCTGCACCATCCCAGGGGGCTGCAGCAGTCCCATGGGGAGCATGGGGGGCCCGAGCTGCCAGCAGCTCCCCAGCCAGGTTCCGGCAGCTGCTGGTGGCTGTGGCAGTGGGAAGGGGCTCACCTTTCGGGGACAGGCGTGCCATCGGATCTGCTGCCAGGAAGACAAGGCTGGGAGATTGGGTTACAAGCACCCGAATAACAAAGACCTTTGAAATCTAAGCCCCAGGAGCAGTCATTAACCATCCGTCTCTGCTTCATTAGCAGAAGAAACTGTCCACGTGAGGCCAAGTTGCCCTGGGCTTCGCTGTGGGTGGAGAGGGCTTGGACATTGGCTGTACCTGGGCAGCAGTGGCGGAGTCTTCCACATCCTCGGCCACCCCCCATGGCCAGGAACATCTGGGCAGATGTTGGCCAGCAGACACACCCCATTGCACTCCAGCCCACACATCCCCAGGTGGTCTGGGCTGTGGGGACGGCTGCGACCAGAGCGGGAGGGCACAGCGAGGCTCCAGGTTCGTGGGGGTGGAGGGGCTGGGGCTGGTGCAGGGACACCAAGGCTCTAGCTTGGTCCGAGCTGGCAGTGCCCACGTGTGGGGTGTTGCTCCTCGTCCGGTGCCTGGGGGTGACCACTGCCACAGACACAACTGTGACCTGCCTCTGCTCTTCCAGCTGGGGCTGCAGGCCCTCATGTTGGGGGCTGAGTTACCCTCAGCTCTGCCAGGGATGATGCTCATCACCAGGCTGGGGATTGCCCAGCACTCCTCGGTGACACCTGCAAGGTTCATGCCGATGCATGACACAGGGGAGGTGACAGCACCAGGGGTGGTAGCAGGCTCAGTCCCCACAGCTGCCAGCCCCTGCACAGCCCTCAGTCCAGCAGCAATGTACAGAGGGTGTTCCAAGCAGGGGAAGATTTAAAACAGGGAGTGTGGTAGGGGAACAGATCCTGGACCCAGGATCCTGGAGGAGAAAAGCACATCCTGGAGCCAAGGCAGGGGCTGCCAGGACACCCAGCACTTCTGCATGGGAGCAGGAGAGGGCAGCAGCTCCTGCTCCAGGCAGGAGCAAGCAGCAATGCAGGCAGGGAGTCAGGCAGTGCTCTCCTGTGCTGTCTGCTTACCAAACATTTCAGCAGCCCTCGTGCCATGTTTCCAGCACTCCTCAGCAGCAAGAACTGGGGGGGTTAGAGACCAAGACCTCATAGGGTCACAGGGCTCTGCAGAAAATCTCAACCCCTTGATGGGGTCTTGGGAACAAGGCAGCAGAGCCAGCAGCACAGCACCTTTGGGGCACAGTGGCCGTATCCTGACACAGGATCCTGATACATCCTCTGTCACAGGTTTCCCCAGGCAGCATACACGGGGTGTGTCTGCCCATGGGTCCCCAAGCACAGGGATGACACACCATGGCAGCGCTTTGCCCTCCGCTTGCCAGGCTGGCAGCAGGCAAGGGATGGCAGGGCGGTCTGCTTGGCATGGGGCTGTGCCAAGGACCTCGGTTTTGGCCAAACCCACCGGCTGAGGTGGGGGCAAGGGCCATGTGCCCCGGGGCAGATCAGGAACCAGCTGCGTGGGATGCCTGCTGTGCCCTGACATCTCGGTATCCCCCTGCATGCCTGTGGGGTGGGTGGCAGCACCCTGGATGCCGGCAGCCAGGGCAGAGCTAGCTCCCTCATGGACACGGTGTGCTCCCTCCAAGGGCGTGTGCCCAGGGATGTGCATGCAGCCTGGGGATGTCTGGGCATGTCTGGGCATGTCCCAAAGCTGGCAAGAAGTCACTCTCCCACCCAAAGCACAGTGGTGGCCTGGCTTACCTGCCATGGGGCGAGGTACAGAGCAGGCAGGCATCAGTCCCTTTGGGCCCTAGGAAACCCTGCCCAAAAAGACTATACAGGTGAGAGGGATGAGCTTGGCTCCATGCACAACTGGGGGTAGCCCTGGCACTACCTAGGGGCAGTGACCCCTGCCTTGGCTGCCTCTCCTTGCAGAAATGTACACACACACACACACACACATCCTGCCTGCCCTCCTACCCTACTCCACCCCATCCATCCACTGCCCATCAGCTCTCGTGTCCCCCTCACAGATGCCAGCAGAGCTGCGTCCCATTGAGGGGTTGTGCCCAGCTGCCCTTGGCCACTTCTGCCCATTGCATGCAAGCCCCTGGTGCAGGGCTGTGTACCCCAGCTCACCTGCTCTGCACCCTGCAGGCAGGACTTGGGGTGGGGGGAGCCCTTGGTGACATGGGCTGTGCATCTGCCAAGCCACGCAGAGTGACACTGAGAGGCATGCTGCCTGAAACCAGCCTTTGGCCCCGGCTGGGGTCTGTGAGCCCTGTCAAAAGACCTGAATCTGGGCACAGGGAAGGCATATCTGCGATCAGCAGCGACATGCATGGGTGGAAAATGTCTTTTCTTGTTCCCAGGACTCACCCCCGAGAGCTGCAGGGACCTTTGGCACAGCAGGCCAGGGAGCAGCACCCTCAGGGGAGTGCAAAGGTCTAACCCAGATGAGCCAGAGCCATGCATACTATGGACGCAGGAGGTGGCAATCGCCCAGCAAAACCCTCTGCACCCCTGAGCACTCTCTGAAGATGAAATGCACCCAGGGAGCACCCATGGGACCCTGCATGCAGCTGCCTGTGTCACCCAGAGCCCCGTCGAGGTCTGGCACAGCATCCTGTGCCCTCCCCTGCTCACACCCACAGCTTTACTGCTGCCTCCAGCTTAATCATTGCCCTGATAATCTGGCAGGCAGCACTCTGCCTGGCCTCTCCCAGCTTGTTTGCCACGGCCCGAAGGTTAGGGATAGTGAAGGGCAGCAGTGACACACGGCACTGCTGGCAGATGCTGCACCCTGCCAGCGCCCTGCCTGGGCCAGGCCAGCACATCCCTCGCCCCTCAGCCCCCCTGCTGATGCCAGCCCCACTAGCCCCAGGGCTCTGCCAGAGGCGCCACACACCCCTCGGGAACAGTTTTCCCTCCCCAAGCCATGTTTGTCCCTGCAGAGCACGTCAGACCCCCAGGGCACCAAGCAGCCTCTGCGGGATGGGGGTTTCAGTCAAGGCAACGTGGTGACGCCATGTCCCTGCCCAGCCACACAGCGAGTGGGCTCTGTGGCAGGGCAGGGCTGGCGTCAGGGCCACGAAAGCAAACAAGGCGTGGATCTACCTGTTGCCATGCCAGCACTGCCCGCAGTCCAGGCAAGGCGAACAAGAGTGCTCCTTGTGCAGGGCAGGCAGCATGGGACTGTGTCCCTGCCAACCTCCTCCTACAGGCTGCACAGCCCCCGGCCACCCACCAGCATGGGACCTGGGCCAGAGAGAGGCG